AAATCACAAATAAAATTTATTTAGGATTTGATGCAACTTTCCAGTCAGAAATAAATCTTATTTATGGACTAGCCGGTCTCGTATGCGCGAGGCTTCGCCACGCGCTGAATGTGTAGATATTCGCTCCTATTCCGATTGCCGGAACGATAGTCGTTCGTCGAAATTTGAAATTTTCATCGACGTTATGAGGCAACAAATGACATAATATACCACAAATTTTTATTCCTATTATCCTTTCGAAATGAAGAATTAATGAAAACGTGTTGAAATCTGTCGTTAATGTTTTTATTTACAACACAATTCAACGAACGACTGTCGATGCGAACGACTTACGACAACCAGAATAGGGGTGATTAAATAAGATGCGATTGACAACTAAACAGGTTGCAACCCTACTAAAAAAATAATATATAATTGCGCATCTGGAGGCCAAGTCCTTTCATTTGACACGTCATTTCTTGTAATCTAACGAACAGCCCACATTTTATAATTTTTCGCACAGGTTGCAACCCTCTTCAAAAAATAAAACCTTACTGCAAATTGCAAGATCAATCCTTTTCGTTTGACCCCTCATTTTTTTTAATTGAATGAACTGTGCAAATCTAATGTCATGCCCTCGCGTATTATACCTACTTAATTTTTAAATAGGTGGCAACCCCACTCAAACAAAAAATAGAAACTTATTGGACATGCAGAGGCCATATCCATTTACTTGGTACCTCAGTTTTTAGTCCAACAAACGGTGAAGATCATATAATTTTTAAAAAGTGGGAACCCTACTCAAAAAGTTATACATTATTGAACATCTAAAAGCCGAGCCCTTTTATTTGACACCTTATTTCTTGTAATCCAACGAATAGTGCGGATCTAATAATTTTTGGACAGGTGGAAACCCTATAGGAATTCAAAATATTAAAGATAATATTCCTGTCGATACAGCTTATACTTAAGCAATCTCGTATAAATTCGTGCAGTAGTTTTGAAAGTAGCGTGATCAAAATATCTCGACTTTCCTTTATACTATATTTAGAAGATAGTAATTTTTAAATAGGTGGCAACCCTATTCAAAAAATTGAAGCTTTTGTAGATGAGAGGGCGAGGCCCTTTCATTTGGTATCTTATTTTGTAATCCAACGAACTATACTATACTATGTGTAGATTTGTGATTTGACTAAATCAAAATCACGCAACCCTGGTGCTAGGTAGCACAGCAGCACAGCACTCTGGTGTGTTACACATCGCTAGTAGATAGTATAGTAAAGAACATAAAATCCATACACACTGGGATGTTTCGAATGTCATATTTTTCACATTCACGAATGAGAATGCGAATTTTATGAATGAGAATGCGAATATTAGGAATTACATTAAAAAGCTATAATCAACTTAAGCCATCGTTTTTATTACTTAAAAATTTTGTAAATTATTAGAACATTGAACGAGTGCTTAACCTATACAGTGTTTTAATCTAGTAGTGAAAGTTCAAAATGGGCATATCATATTTCAAAAAAAGTAGTTTTGCTGCCTTTTCTCCCATGAGACGACTTCGTTAGAGGCTCGTGTATAACGCCGGACAGGGCTACCAACTATCCTTAGTTATGAGGTACCATATTGATGATGAAAAAGTGCACGGTTTGAGCCAAGTTGGCGACTAAGTATTCACTAGGGATGCTGGCGGCTGGAGCGCTCAAATATTTGCGGGCCAGATCTGACAATTTGTCGTATTTTAGTTTAGTTTTCCACCAATCGAGAGTATTTTCACCGAGATGAACTCGTTTTTCTTTAAGATAAGATAGACGTTCAATTGAGCTTTAATTTCACATTTTCTAATGTCTCCAGATTCTACATCCGAGCCTTCGCTTTCGATGGAGGAATCTTAAATTATTTCTAGGTTGCTTATAAGACATTTAGCATTTTAGCATATTGCTTTATATACTACTTAACCGTATAGCGCCTGAAGCTAAAAGCCGGTTATTGTTCGCATCCTGGTTACACAGACTTAGAGCCATTTCAACAATATTAGAGCGGACTCTCTGCCCATGTACACATTCGCCTTCGCAAAACATTCGTATCATTCGATGCGAATGCGAATGTCGAATGCGAATGTGTAAAATTATGCGAATCATTCGCATAAGGAATGCGATTGTAAATATTCGCAACATCCCTGATACATACATACGTACGTAGAACGTGCAAAACTAGTCTAGTTCGTAGTGAAATCAATTGATATGCATATACAACAAGAGTTTTCGGGGTGTGCATAGCTCAGTGGTTAGCGTCGCTGGCTATGCACATCGATGATTCGGCCCCGATTCCTGCTGAAATCTAGAAAAAGAAATCTGATGAGGAGATGTGGGGATCTTCGAAATTAGCACCGCTCTACCGCTTAGACTTTGTTGTTTTTTTTTCATTTTCTCTAAGAAACAAATCGTGGTACAAAACTCAAAAAGCATTGCCAAAAAATGATTTTCGTTTGATGGATTTTAGGCCGAAAACCATACACTGCACAGAAAAGCTTACAAACTAGGAACAATTTTAAAGCAGCTTCATGTAGTTCCGCTGTAGTGCAGTTGCCGCATAGTTTGGTTTATAGATGTAGTAGTATGTTGAAAGCGACGATAAATAAGGTGAGTTTCATAAAATATAAAATCAGAATATCGTTCAATTGTTTTAATTTTTTAAAATTTTATACAAACAAGTCTGAAAAGTATAAAAAAAGTCAAATATGGAATAGTTTGTAATACACCTCGTTTCTAAAATGCACTAAAATGTAGAAAATTATTTTTATTAGACCCATAGAATTTGTGTTTATAAATTGTGATTTTAAAATGTACTAAACATTTTACGAGATTTAAAATGAAAAACGTGGCGCGCGAGCAATGGAATCATAGTGATATACTATATGTATGTGAGTAGATAATTCACTACATTTAATTGACAATAAGTCTTTCATTCAAAATTAAAACTACATAACATAGACCTTAAATTTCTACAGCGCTAGTACAGTTAAGAAGTGGTGGGTTAATTATTTACATGCTGAAAAGTGTACATTTAAAAAATCTGACGATTTGAGCGCGACGCAAGGGATTGGGATGGTAGGGTCGCAAACTTGAAAAAAAAAAGTTTCCTTGACATTCTCGAGCGCGGTCCATTTTTTTTTTTGTATTATGAAGCAAACAGCTGAAGCATATCATCTAACGATTTCCACAACCAAACAGACGGAAAAATATAGAAGAAATTGACGACCAAGTCGAACCGGACTTGCTGTATGATAGTTGCACGGATAAAATAATAAGTGTCTACAATAATATATGTTTGGTTGACTGTGCATCTCAGAAACGAAATTATTTTTTTAAACCGTCAGATTAAGAAAACCCCTCCAGATAATCGTCAGATTATGGAACAGCAAGGCCAGGGCATCGAGATGAATCTTCTGTATGAAAATCTGACGCGCTCGAGTAAATCCAAATGGCGATTTTTTTTTGCATCTTCAAGAAGACGCCACGGGCTTGCGTCATATTGGAATCGACAGATTATTGAATGGGAGGTTCATTCAGGTCCATTTAACATCCCTTGTGAATATCTGACGCGCTCGAGTAAATCCAAATGGCGATTTTTTTTTGCATCTTCAAGAAGACGCCACGGGCTTGCGTCATATTGGAATCGACAGATTATTGAATGGGAGGTTCATTCAGGTCCATTTAACATCCCTTGTGAATATCTGACGCGCTCGAGTAAATCCAAATGGCGATTTTTTTTTGCATCTTCAAGAAGACGCCACGGGCTTGCGTCATATTGGAATCGACAGATTATTGAATGGGAGGTTCATTCAGGTCCATTTAACATCCCTTGTGAATATCTGACGCGCTCGAGTAAATCCAAATGGCGATTTTTTTTTGCATCTTCAAGAAGACGCCACGGGCTTGCGTCATATTGGAATCGACAGATTATTGAATGGGAGGTTCATTCAGGTCCATTTAACATCCCTTGTGAATATCTGACGCGCTCGAGTAAATTTTTTCGTCACCCATTTTTACCCTTCCGTATGCCCACCCCCACCATGCAAACCGGCAGATTAGCATATCGCCGTCATCAGAAACACGTTTGATTTATTAACTATCAATATCTTAGGCGCTCGAGTAAATCCATGTAACTTTTTTTTTTGTTTTTGCATTTTTAGAAGCCTGTATATCCTCCACCCACCGCTGTAAGGAAAAACTTCACATGACTTTTTTTCTTCCCGTCACATAATCTTCAAAATCCAATAGGTCAAAATGGCGCTCGAGTAAATCCCGATTTAGCATCGTGGGCTCCCCTAGTATATAACATGCGCCCCACGTTTGCTAAAATTTTAAAATGAAAACTTAGCAGGAAAAATTCTATGGGTCTACCAAAAATTATTTTTTCTCTTTAGTCCATTTAAAGGAACGTGGCATATGAATTTTTTTTTTAATTTTTTAATCTCTTAAACGCATTAAAACAATGATGATTTGCTTCCCAGTCCCCCGAGTTCTCGGTAAAATTCGCCCTATTGAAAGCATTAACAGCCTTATTATCTATCTCGAACGATAGGCCGCACGAACGACGACATCGTGTCTTCTTGCTACTTTGTAACTCTATGGTACGTCTTCGTCTTGTTTTACGACGATTACGTTGGACTCGTCTCGGCTACATTTAATACGGCTAGAATGTTGTTTGGACTAAATTTTGAAGCATTCGTCTGCAGCCTATCGTGCGAGATAGATAATAAGGCTGTAAATTAAATGTATTGTACCAAGATATACTATTTTAATACTTACTCGTAAAATTTTACGCGTATCTAATACATTACTTTATTGGTAATGAAATGAATTTAAAACCCTTATCACTGAAATTAGGAGAGAAAAATAAATAGCATTCTTTGTGAATAAATAGATTTATGGAATAAAATAAAATTTTAATGTGTTCTATTGTATCGTATTGCACTTTAAAAATATAAAAATTGATTTTTTTTATTTTAGGTGATAAGAGAACTTATAGCTATGTTGTGGGCCTTTCCAGCAATGCTGAACCGAATTGGAACGATTTATTATTTTTAGCTAAACTGATACCACGTATTCTGCATAATGTTAATCGTGTTTGCTTTATATTTGGTGATCTTGTACAGTACCAAATTACAGACATAACTCATACGACACTCAACAATTATGTTCTTAATCAATTGAGGGAAGCGGATGCCATAGGAAATGAAGTATTATAAAACATAACTCACTAATACGTATTATATTCATGTTTTAATTTCTAATTCAGATAATAATCCAAGCGGAACTTCATCGTAAAATATCACAAATGCCCATCGTGTTGATTCCTGTGCATTTTGATAGGGATCCAACAAATCGAACTCCATCATGCTGCCGATCGATTGTTTTGAGACCCTTTTTAACAAATGATTTTATGACGGGAGTTCCAGTAATACCAGGATCGATTAATTTGCCCACTCAAGTAAACAATTTTATATAACATTGAACTTTAAAATAGTACTAGCAGACGTTGCCCTACGTTGAATTAATTGCCTACTAGACAACACATCGAAATAAATAACATAAATGGGCAAGACTCCATTAGAAAATAAGCGATATGCAAGTGCTTTCTCTATGTATTGGAAACCTTGCGAAATGGTGGCACGGGCAAATGCAGATTTTTTTTGGGGAGGGGGGTTTAAAAAAATTATCTTCTTATATTTAACCTTTATGTCAACAGCAACATACCCGGGTATGTTATATATGTTTTGTGAGTTGTAATTCTTGGAAACCATACATCGGATTAACTTGAAATTTCATGATATCCTCAACAAAAGTACTGTACACCATATTCTGAGTGGGAGTGGACCACCGGAACCAGAAATCTGTCTATTTTTCGACTTTTACCCCTTACGTCAACAGCTGCGTACCCGGGTATGTACATTTGAAAAGTAAACTTTATTTCGAATCAAATTCTTAAAATAGTACAAGAATATAATGATAATATAATATTATAATCAAAGCTGGGTTAAATGCAATTACATTACAATTACAATTACATTCTTCAGTAATTATAATTAGGAATCAATTCCTTCAGTTCACAGCAAAGGAATTGCATGCAGTTGATTTTTTTCGAATTCCATTCCTCAAAGTAATTTAAAAAGTAATCGAAAAATGTATTATTTTTTTTTTAACTGTTGAATTGCAATAGCTTTGTTAAATTTCTTCGTTGCCAACTGCCTTGAATAAATAACTTCTACCTAAGTAGTATTACTAATTGGACTTTAAGAAAGCTGAATAACTTCAACTGTAGCTGTTCAGTTTATAGGGTAACCGTAAATTTTCCAGATCCTACCGCGAACTCGCTTCGTAAATGTCGAAGCAGGTATAACCCGCCCGAATACTTTCATGCTCGCCCTTCGGTGAAGAACAGTCCGGACTGTTGCTGCCTTAGGCACTGCTGTTCTCTTAGACTAATCCCTACGTATCTATAAAAATGCAATTGTGTATATTATGGTAGCCTTAGTGCTACCCAAAATGGCGTGCCTTCTGGGGCCTCTGAAGTACTCTTACTGGTAACCTGCGTTACAAATGAGGATAGAGTCCGCTTGGCTAAATTTTGATGATAACACTGTAAGGATGCTAAAATTACACAAAAAAACGCCGAAACACGTAAAATTAATTTTGGGTAGTAGCTTACGGATTTGTTTACCGTTTTTTCAGATAAGATCATTTACTCAAGTTATTTTCATTTTAAATTTGCATTGCGAATGAAAAAAATTCAAACTTTAACACGGAAAATGTTACTCAAACGTAATGTGACGAACCGTACTTCTTTCAGAAGTACAGTACTTCCTTTTTCGCTCTTGTACTTCGTACTTCAAAGTACAGTCAAATGTACTTCTTTGCGATATTTTGCACTTCAGAAGGGAGATTCTGTAACCAGTTAGCGTCAATTTTCGGATCGCTATCGCACTTTTTAACGCATGATATAAATGTTTTGCGTCAAAAAGTGCGATGGCGATTCGAAAATTGTCGCTAACTGGTGACAGAATCTTCCCCCAGGTCCTGTACTTCTCCGATCTTCTGGACGATCGTCACCTGGCCTGGGCGATAAATTCGTTCAAACCATTAAAGTCGCCGGGGACCGATGGCATCATACCTGCGCAGCTGCAAAGCGCACTGAAGGTGTCGTGCAATTGGTTGGATCCTATTTATGTGAACTGCGTGAGGACCGGGTACATCCCCAAGGCGTGGAGGGTAGTCAGTGTTGCGTTCATCCCGGAGGCAGGAAAAGCCTATCATGTGTCCCCTACGGATTTTAGGCCTATCAGTCTTTTCGTTTATACTAAAAACGCTCTTGCTAAAAACGCTACAGAGGCTGATAGACCTGTTCGTAAATAAGAAACGCAATTCCTCGTAACTGTCTTTCAAGAGATCAATATGCTTATTGCAAAAAAAAAGGTCGGTGAATACCGCCCTGCACACATTGGTAAAGTATGCAGTAGAGGCTTCTTCGATATCGAGGGAGTCTTCAATAATGTCACTCCAGAGGTAATAATCAAGTCAATAATCTGGGGATTGAAACCAACCTAATAAGGCTTATCTATAGCTTACTTCGTGACAGAACTGTAATGGCGGAGTGGGGGAGCGTCTGCACTCAGTGCAGAGTCAATAGGAGCACTCCACAAGGTGGTGTTCTCTCTCGCCTGATCTGGATTGCGGTTGTAAACGGCCTTCTAGAGGAACTGGAAAAAGTGGGCTGTCGGCTGGTCGCCTATGTAGATGATGTGCTACCTTTGGTTAAGGGACGATTTCTATACACTGTGATCTGGCTCAAGGTTACCTAAACCAGGTAACTAGGTAGGCGATCAACGGCGGCTGTCCTGGAAGCCTAACATTGAGCAAAGGGTAGGAAAGGTGTCGGTTGCCTTGTACTGCTGTAGGGGAGCTATCGCCCAAATTAATTCATTAGCTCTAGGAAACCAGATTTAAGCCTATATTGTTTCAATGCAAGGGCTCATGGTGGAACTAACTATAGAAGGCTACACTTGTAAAACAGGAATTAGCGGAGCATTAGGAACCACACCTACACTGGCGCTTAATATATTTATATATATATTTATTTATTTCTATTTCAGTCAATGAATACATAGATTCTTACTGACTAAGCTTAAAAATACAACTTCAATTTAAGTTGGTGATCAACTAATTAATCAGCTAAAGTAATTCGAGACTATTCGACTCCAGGAAGTGGCAGATCTATTTCCACGGTTTGGTTTATTTGATTGATTTCCCTGAGGGCTTGAATGCACCTATCAAAGCATAATTCGACTTTGCGGATTGCACCTAAAATGAGTCAGAACGCCGCAAATTTCTTACAGGAATATTGAGCGGTATTCTTCGCAGAATTTCAGAGCAATCGACAATATTAGTTATAACATTCAAGATAAACGAGCAGGATAGGCACTTTCTCCTATCTTCAAGCAAATGAAGTTTTAAAAGTAAGCAACGTGACTTATAGGGAGGCATTGTCTCTGTAAAGCTGAGAAACCTTAGCGCAGACTTGATAAAAATCTTTTGTAAACATTCAATCCTGTTTATATACGTCGTATGAAAACGTCGCCAAATAATTGCGGCATATTCTAGACGGGACCTGACAAAAGCAATATAGAGTTTTTTAGAGTGTACGGATCAGAAAAATCAGAATTGTTACGACGCACAACAACCCACGAGGAATAGGAATTTGCAACAATGAAGTTAATATGAGTATTATATTTGAGTTTTGAGTCAAAATAAACCCCTAGGTCTTTGACTTGATCTACAAATTTGAGTTTCGTACCTGCTATCGTATAAGATGTGCTTACGGTATACGACTTTCTAGTAGTTGAGAAGAAGAGTTGATTTCTTTCACACCAAGAGTTAACACTATCTAGATCAGATTGAGAGAATCAGAATCCCCGGGTCTCTTAACAACCGAATCAACTTTGAGATCGTCAGCGTATAGAAGAAATTTGGAGAATAAGAAACACGAGCTTGTGTCATTGATAAAGCTTATACATACATATAATAAAATTGTAACAGGTCGATGTCTGTACATTATAGCTATTAAAGAAAAATTAATTTGGGGACTCTTTTTTAGAGCACCAGAAGCCAAATCAACCATTTTTGGAATTTTTGTCTGTCTGTCTGTATGTTTGCACGCGCATCACTCGAAAACGAATGAATGGAACTGAATGCAGTTTTCACCGATGTATTGGTAGAGGTCTATCTTAAAAAATAGAAAGAAAAAAATTAGAGAGTTGCCACCTGTTCGAAAATTGTAGTTTAAGTAAAATTATAAGAAAAAGTGAATATTGCAATATGGGCGCCAAAAGAAAGAGGCTTAAGAAGGCTTACTAATAAAAATATTTTTTTAGAGTTGCCCACTGTTTGAAAATTTTAATTTAATTTAATTTAATTTATAAGATAAATTGAATATTGAAATATGTGTATCAAACTGAAGAGGTTTAGGAAATTTTACTGGCGAAAATATTTTTGAGGAGGGTTGCCACCTGTTTGAAAATTTGTATTGTACTAAATTCATAAAATAAATGAAATCTATATCTATACTTATAATACAATTTTTACAGACCTTATATCAATTAGAGAAAAATTAATATGGTGGGCTTTTATTAGACCTACAGAAGCCAAATTAAAAATTTTTACTCTGTCCGTCTGTATATTTGTACGCGCATCACTCGAAATCTAAGGCATGGAATTGAATACAGTTTTCACCGATGTATCGCTAGAGGTCTAGCTTACAATATAGAAGAAAAAAATTACAGAGTTGCCACCTGTGTTTAAAATTTCAGTTTAGGTCAATTGATACGATAAAGTAAATATTGTAATATGGCTGTCAAAAGAAAGAGGTTACAAAGGCTTTCAGCTGAAAATATTTTTGTGGAAGGTTGCCACCTATTTGAAAACTTTAATTTAACTTAATTGATAACATAAATTAAATATTGCAATAATTGCAAACTAAAGAGGTCAGGAAATTTTAATGCCCAAAATATTTTTAGGGGATTTGCCAACTGCTTAAAAAATTTTATTCATTTAAATTTGTAAAATAATTTTGAATTATTGAACGGACATTAAATTAAAGAGGATTAGGAAGCTTACTTTTAAAAATATTTTTGAAGTGGGTTGCCACCTATTTGAAAACTTTATTTCAGTTAAATCGATAAGATAACCTGAATGTTGCCATATGCGTATCAAACGAAAGTATTTGAGAATAATAAAATTGCAACAGGCCGATATCTGTACCTAGTAGATGTTAAAGAAAAATTAATAGGGGGTTTATTAGATCAACAGAAGCCAAATCTAAAATTTTTATAATTTTGGTCTGTCTGTCTGTATGTTTGTAAGCGCATTTTCACCGATGAACATATTTATATTTTTTTTTTTGTTTTAGTTTATCGTCGATCATTATTCCTAGGTATT